CCCCCAAAGCATCACCCTGCCTGCCCAGAGAAGTTGCTGCATCAGCCGCTTGGCAGCAATAGCTGCCCGTCTCCCAGCTCCTACCCTTCCGGTCTTGACGTCCTGTACGTAGATGCCCTCATTCTCGTCCAGGGGGATGGCTTGGCGCTCTTCCACCACCTCCACTTTGGCAGACGGCACATACTCCAGAGGCCCCCGGATGAGCCAGCAGTCCCCGGCCTGGTGGGACACCTTCTCCTGGTCCTCGCTGTCTTCCAGGGGCTGCAGGGCCCTCAGCAGCAGCCCCTGCTGCTCGGACAGCACGTACACGTCCTGGATGCCACGCTCCAGGCGCTCCCCGGGCTGCAGGAAGAAGGACTTCTCCCCCTGGGAGGAGACGCGGGCTGGGGCAGCGCCACCCCACGTGGCAGCGCCTCCCATGCCACCTGCCCCAGCGGCCTCAGGCTTGTGCTGAGGACAGGACCCCTCATGACTATCGCACCCCCCAACATTCTCCCAGCCCAGCGGGGAGCTGTCTGGCCTGGGACGCTCTCCTCAGGACCTTAGCGAGCTCAGGGGTCAAGAATCTGCCTGTGTCTCTTCTGCTCCCCCATGTTTGGCTTCTTGGGGTGGCACAGTCCCGGGGTTGGCAAACTCTGGGCCTTGGGGCCCAGTGGAGCCTGCTTTCTGGTTTAACATACAACAGTTAGTGAAGTTGTGTAATTCTCAGGCTGTAAAATACACCCCTTTTAAACGTACAGATCGATGATTTTAGTATCTTCACAGAGTTATGTAGCCGGCCCTGTTACCATCTGATTTTAAGAACATTTCCCATCATCCCAAAGGACTCCATTAGCAGTCACCCCTCAGCCTTCTCCCCTAGCACGACAATGGTGACTCTACTACTTTGTCTCTGGATTGGTCTCTTCTGCGCCTGCCATCGAGGCATAGCTACCGTACCGGCACGGGTAGAACTGCCCCTGTGGGTTTCCGAGGCTGTAACTCTTTATGGGAGTAAAAGCCCTTTCTCCTAAGAGCAGCTGATGTTTTCAAACTGATCTTACAATTAGCAGTCCGATAAGTAACCACTCTAAATCTAAAACCACACTTCCTGTAAATGGACCCAGACAACAGGCAGCCTTTGGTGTCTGGCTTCTTCACAGAGCACCATGTCTTCCAGGCTACGCCTTCCTCTTCACGGCTGAGTGACAGTCCATCATACAAGCCACGCCATTCGGCTTCACAGTCATCAGCCGGCTGGGTTCCCTGTTCGGCCCCTGACATTTGGAAAGTGCGAGGGTGGTCCAGCCACACCCACTCAAGTCTCTGTTGGCTGTGCCCGACTTCACACCACGTGGGCAGAGCAGAGTGGCTGCCATGGAAAGCCTATCGCCCATGAGGTCTACAAGATCCCTCCCTGGCCCTCGACAGACCAAGCCTGCCGACTCCTGGTCCTGTTCACAGTTCCGAGAGGGTAAGAGTTGTGTCAGAAGGGACAAGGGAGGGTTTTTTGTTGTTTGTTTTTGGTTAAAGGCAGGGACCATCAAATCCAAGGCAGTGGCAGGGGGGCATTCTGGAACGACAAAGCTGCTGGAAGAGCGGGGTGTGTCCCATTATTACAAAGGAAAGTATAAAAGTGGTTTTCACACCAAAGGAGAAGACTTTAGAGACTATG